TCTCAGCCTTTTGAAATTTGAACCATTCTTTTGTGTATTAATCTTGATGCTATGCAAATGTGCATTAAAAATTATTAAAAAAAGAAATAAATGAACAGCTAAGCTATATCATATATGCACAAACCTTTTGAAAATGCACATGCCCATTTTTGAATCAAACGGGTTGCGGGTCGGGCGGGTCAACCAAGCAATCTGAGCAGGTCGAGTTTTGGGATAAAAAATCTGACCCGTTTCTAAAAATGGTTCGGGTCCTGGTTGACCCGTTTAGATTTGAATCAACTCGAGTTTTGACCCGAACCTGACTCATCGACCCATTTTGACACCCCCTAGTATGAAATATATGCAACCAAATTTAGAAAATGAAATACAAAGTTAGTACACAGTCGATACACTTGATATATACTAAATACACAGTCAATACACATTATACAATCTCATGTGTTTAAAATTTTACATTAAGATTTACATTTGTCGGTTTGTAGTACCATAAGCATCTAATATAAATGCTAAACCGACTGCCCTTTTCACTTTTTTAATAGTGCAATGAATGGGCTTCTATTTGTTAAACAAGATAGATTACGACATTTCTATTTGTTAAACAAGGTGGGTTAAGACAATAGCAAAAAAGTGACAACCAAATGCCATAAACCCTCAAAACCATAAACGTAAACCCTAAAACCTATTTTGAGTGAAACGCCAAAAAAAGCATCTCTTTGAAGATGAACTGAACTAGAATGACAGGCTAACCTTGATGGAACTTAACGAGGTAACATAGAGTCTGAATGTCAATGAATAATGAACCGTGAACCGACTCCAATGCTGAAGATGAAAAGTGAATCGACTCTGCAACTTTTGATATGTCGTGAATTCAAAATTTTCACCAATGGATCAGGCAAGTCGGTGGTCTTGCAAGAGAAAAATATAATAATAAGGAATATATATTAAATATCACCACTAGGCCAGGTCGATCGGGTTGGCAAGAGCACAATAAAATACTAAATTCACGTGTCTCAATTTCATTATAGTCCAGATGCATAGCTTCGTCCAGCCTCCACACCTAATAATTTCTCTAGGATTAGAGTCTTCGAGCCACCTTTTAAATTGGGTGATTATACATTTTACATCAAAATCTTATCATTTATACATAAAAAAATTTAAAAACTAAAATAAAATAAAATACATCCCCTAACTCATGGCCCTTGGTGATAAATGATTGATAAGGAATATCTCAAAATAAGTAGCTTGTATATGAGGGGAACATTTTGTTAGAATTGGTGGGAACTTAATTTTCTATAGGTTTAATATCTTTAAGGTGTCATTGACATCCTTGTCTAACATCTGAATGAACTCATCGCAGATAATTCTAAAAGTTAATGGTATGCAATGAAAAGTAATCTTTGAAAAATACATCTACAAACATCACATAAAAAAATATAATTCAAAAACCTTAATTAAAATACAAAATTGATAAGTTAATAGACAATTAATATCAAGTCAATACATAATTAATAAAAAATGAATAAAAATAATTTATAGACATTTAAAATACGTTAAAAATAATTTAAAAAATAAAATGCAAAGTTATGCACAGTCGATACAAAGTCAACAAACACTTAATACATAATTAATGTTTAGTTAATACATAATTAATACATAATTAATAAATATTCAATATCAAGTCAATACATAGTTAATACAAAATGAACAAAAATAATTCATAGATAGTTCAAATCTGTGAAAAATAATTTAGAAAATGGAGTGTAAAGTTGATACATAATTAATATATAATCAGTAAACAATTAATACATATTGAATATACAATGAATATTAAGCTAATACATAGTTAATAACAAATGAACAAAAATAACTCATAAATATTTGAAATATATGAAAAATAATTTAGAAAATGGAATGTGAAATTGATACACAGTCAATATAGTAGATACATAGTCGATACACAATCAATACATAGTGAATACCAAGTCGATATATAATTAATGAAAAATGAATACAAAAACTCATAAAAAATTTAAAATTTGTAAAAAATAACTTAAAATGAAAGGCAAAGTCAATACTTAGTCGATGCAGAGTCGATACACAGTTAATACATTGTCAATACACAATTAATATATAGTTAATGCATAGTCAACATGAAGTGCATAATTAATACTAAGTCAATATACATTTAATACAAAATGAATAAAAATAGCTCATAGATATTTGAAATCTGTGAAAAATAATTTAAAAAATAAAATGTGAAGTCAATAAATAGTCTATACACTATTAATACGCATTCCATATATAATTAATAAATAGTTAGTACATAGTAAATATGTAGTGAATACCAAGTCAATACATAATTAATATAAAATAAATAAAAATAACTCATAGGCATTTGAAATTTGTATAACCTAATTTAGAAAAAGGAATACAAAGCTAATATGGAGTCAATACACAGTTAATACATAGTCAATACACAATCAATATATAGTTAATACACAGTGAATACAAAGTCAATACACTATTAATATAAGTTCCAAAAAGAAATAAAATGAATAAAATAATTCATATAAATTTAAAATTTGTGCAATGTAATTTAAAAAATAGAATACAAAGTTGATACAGTCAATACACAATCAATACGTAGTGAATACCAAGTCAATTCACAATTAATATAAGTTATAAAAAGAAACAAAATGAACAAAAATAACTCATAGACATTTAAAATATGTGCAACCTAATTTAGAAAAAAAGAATACACAGTCGATACATAATCAATATACAGTCGATACACAATCAATACTCAGTTAATGCACACTGAAATTATCTTTAAAGTATATTAAAAAAATGGTTCCTTTCAAGTTCAATTATTAATGCACATTCGATATACTATCAATACACAGTCAATACATAGTTAATACACAGTCAATACATAATTAATACACAGTTAATAATACTTAATATGCAGTTAATACACAATTAATGTAAAGTCAATACAAAGTTAATACAAGTTTAAAAAAAATCAAAAAAATGAACAAAAATAACTCATATACAATGCATGAAATCTTTACAGCCTAATTTAAAAAATGAAATACAAAGTCAATACGCATTTGATACACTTGATACATACTCAATACACAGTCAATATGCATTGTAAAACTCATATGTTTAAAATTTTACATGAAGGATTATATTTGCCAGTTTGCAGTACCACGAGCATCCAATCGTGTACGCCAAATTGACTGCCCTTTTCGCTTTTTTTAAATAGTGAGATGAATTGGTTTCTATTTGTTAAACAAGGTGAGTTATAGCATTTTTGTTTGTTAAACAAGGTGGGTTGCTACAATATAAAAAAATTGACAAGCAAATACCCTAAACCTTAAAAACTATAAACATAAACCTTAAAACCTATTTTGAGAGAAAAGCAAAAAAAAAAATCACTTAAAAAAAAGTATCACTTTGAAGATGAACTGAACTAGAATGATGGACTAACCTTGATGAAACTTAACGAGTTAACAAAGCGCATGAATGTCAATGAACATTGAACCATGAACCAACTCCAATGTCGAAGATGAAAAGTGAACCGACTCTGTAACTTTTGATTTGTCGTGAATTCATAATTTTCACCTCTAGATCGGGCCAGGTCAGTGGGCTCGCAAGAGAAAAATATAATAATAAGGAATCTATATTAAATATCACCACTGGGCTGAGTCAGAAGGGTTGGCAAGAGCAAAATAAAATATGAAATCCATATATCCAATTCACATGTCCAATCCATGTTGGAGTCAAGATGCAAAGCTTCATCCAAACTCCACACCTAATAATTTCTCCAGGATTAGAGTCTTCGAGCCACCTTTTAAATTGGGTGATTATACATTTGACATCAAAATCTTATTATTTATACATATAACAAATAAAATATTGAAATAAAATAAAATACATCCCCTAACTATTCTTTGACAATGCTACATGACAAAGCTACCACAGGGCCTTGGACATCGTAGCTCCCATATGCAGCTCTTATCCTGATATGGTAGTTGAGAGATTTGGTTATCAATCAAGAGTTCTTGAGTTTAAAACTTAAGTATGTGATGTGTGTGAATATATTTTTAATTAACTCAAAAGTCTCATAAACTCTCATTGATCATCGACTTTTTTAAAGTTAGAATGTATAAAAACAAATTAAAAAATACTAAGAAAGCAGTCACAGACTAAACTCTTTCTTAATGTTTCGGCTTTCTAATAAAAGAATTTTTGAATAATTTTTTTTTACTAAAAAATTATTTAAAAAACAGCAAAAAAAATATTCCAAAGACGAAGATGGTTGGATATATTGCCTCTAGTTTCATTAAATTTACCGCGTTATTTGCATTTGGTAAAAGAAAATTAGATGACATATATTGGGCCGATATTTTCTTCTTTTTAATAGTGCTCTAACTTTTGTAGCCGGTGAGGTGGTTAAACAATAAAATTAATGACATTTGAAATTAAAAAAAAAAAAAGCTACTTCTAAAACGAATTTTGAATGATTACGATTAATTATATTAATTTATACTCTCAATAACATGGATTTAATCAAATGACATTTTATTATAAAACACAAATAATACCATTGGATGTTGGTTATCACAGTAATATGAGAGATGTCCCCAAGCGTATTTTACGGTAAAGATTATGAAAAGCATAGCTTGCATTCAAAGGCCTAATTATTGCTCAAAAGTGCAAAGTAAACTGCAGTGACTTACCAATACATCAAAATGAAACATATAGACTGCAACCATTAAATCATAAAGGCTTCATTTAGGACGGTTTTTTTCGTGCTTCTTAAAGAGACTTTTTAATCTAAAAATTAATTTTTTTTAACAAGAAAACTGCTTTAAGAAGCAATAAAAAAGTCATCCCAAACAAAGCCAAAATCTCCAAATACTAAGGAACAAAGCTCATAGCTGCTTTTCGAATAGAAACCAGACCCATTACATGAATGGCCGACTATAATATCATCATCAAATATTACCATGAACTTATCAGAAGATATCAAACCATATAAAAATGATCACAACCACACATTTTAGACAGGATACCATAGAGCCATCCTCAAGAACCGATTCTGACAATAAACAAGGAGAAGATAGCCAAGCAAATCCGAAAATTACATCATAATAATGGGGCTTACTACTTTTTTCAGTAGCGATAACATACATTAGAATAAAGTGTAAGACTAAGTTAACCAGCTAGTGCTGCAGATGTTTCTCTAGCTACTGCTCCTGTAGCTTCTACAGGCACATCATCCTTTGCTCGTGACGATCCATTTGTTACTGATGCTGTTACGGCCACATTTGTCCCTTCAGGAGGGCTACTGCTACCTGATTTCTTTTCAGCAACTGCATTACCTGCGGAGCCCTCTTTGGCAGGTTGAGTAGCAGCAGGAGCAGGTGGTGGCGGTTTCATGTGCGGCGGCGGATTATGCTTCAGCTTTATGATAAGCTGACGCATCCTTGATAGGTCAGTAGGCTTTCCAGGCTTCGGGCCTTGAATGACAAGAATGGATGGTTTCTTCTCAGCGTCCTTCTTCCCTCTTTTCTTCTCGATGTTGGGTACTTCATTTGGTATGAGTTCAGCAATTGCTTTCCAGTATTGCTTATCTGCATTGTTATGAAACTTCTCTTGACTGGCCAGGAAAATCTGGCAGGAAGGATAATAGCGTCAGTACAGCAAACCTTTATTGGATAAATTGGGTATGTGGCAGGGATTTTCAGACCTTTTCCTTGTCTCTGTTGTTGGATTTGTTAGTCTCCTTGTTCAGTTTCCGCTTCTCATAGAACTCTATCTTGAATTCTTCAGCTTCAGCAATAATTTGATTACGGAGTTCCTTTTCTTTCTTCTCTTTTTCCTCGAGATGAATAGCATTTTTGCTGCAGGTGTCATTGCATTAATCATGATTAGCATAGAAACCTTCAAAATATTTGAATCGAAACATTACAAAGACCTGCTAACAATTATTGGGGAAACTAGAGGTATTTTCCATCGACAAGATGATTAGTTGGCTATAGTGGAGCACCTACAGTAAAATCAGGAATTCTACTCCGTTCTGTCAGTGGACTGGTCATTTAAATTTTCAATTAGACTCCATTCTATGTTATATGTAAAAACCAAAAGCCTTCCTAACCCCTACTAAATTTGATAGTTCTGTGACCATGGATGTATCATTCCACTTCAATGCTTGATTCACCATAAGGTATGCAGAGCCATAAACAATACCATTTAAAGCAAAATAGAAACTAGTTTAAGATCAACTACAACCATTCTGTCCAAACTTGATTCAAGCTACACCTACCTATAGGTTGATTAAATCAAATTGGACAAAATTATTAATTTCAATCCAAGATCAATCTACAACAACATCAAGCCTTTGCCCCACTGTGGGGTCGGCTACATGAATCCTTTTTCGCCATTGTGCCCTCTTAAAAGTCAAATTCTCATTTAAATCTAATAAAAAAAGATCATTTCTAATATTTTCTAACCAAGTCTTTTTAGATCTACCTCTACCTTTCTTAACATAAGTCAAATCTAATACTTCAACTTTCCTAATCGGGTCATCAGAAGGCCTCCGTTTAATGTGACCAAACCATCTAAGGCGACTCTCTCTAATCTTATCTTCCACTGGAGCTTCTCCAACCTTTTCACGTATATGCTCATTTCGTATCCTATCTCTAAGGGTAAAGCCACTCATCCACCTAAGCATCCTCATCTCTGCAACACTTAACTTAGTATTATGCTTCTCTTTTAATAGCCAACATTCGGCACCATAAAGCATTGCAGGCCTCACCACCATCTTATAGAATTTTCCCTTAAGTTTGAGGAAGACTTTTCTATCGCACAACAAAGCCCGATGCATTCCTCCACTTCAACAAACCAACTTGAATTCTGCTGATAATATCACCATCACTCTGAACAATAGATCCAAGATATCTACAATGCGTACTCTTATTAATAACTTGATCGCCCAAAGTCACAATCCC